ACTTCCTTCCTTTTTGGTGGGGGTGCCGTTGCTAAAACAAGAGGCGACAACTTGTCAGGCTTGTTTTGCCGTCGGATTTTGTATTTACGAACAATAAACCCACTGGAACTGGAGCAACAACAATGGAGCATACGTGAGCTAGGGCTTTGGGAATCACAATTGCTAATCCCAATAAGTATTTTCTCTGTGTCTCTTTCTCAGCCATCACCAGCATTATTCCATATCATTTTGCACACAGGCAAAAGGCACAAGAATCGGGCGGTGCAAAATGCTGCGCTTTCTCAAGAATCGTTAGACCCGGCATCTGCCCAGGCACCATTATCGAACCGCCCATCTATCTATATGTATATGCTTAGCTGTATCTGTGTATCTGTATCTGTATCTTCGTGTCAAGGTAAGTCTAGTTTTAAGATCCTTTACAACTTTTGGTATCAAAACATCGTTAGTATTGCAAAGTTCTCAGGCACCTCGAAAAACTTATTTAATTCATTATCCACCAATTTTATTGATTTACCTGTAAGAGGCCCTGTTGCATTATTAAGAATGCAATTTTGTGGCCAGCGAAAACGAACAACGACCCTTCTTTATGGCACTGACCCGAAAATCTCCCACATGCTGTTTAATTATGCAATGCGCGTATGATGGGAAGGTCAAACTCCCTGATAAACAGATGTTTCACTTGGCCAGTCCATCGTGGCGTATACGTACTGGCTCTTAAGTGTGTGCCTAATGACCGTTAATGACATCGCTATATGCTTACCCAAATGACATATAGCACTTGTATGTAACGCCCAAATATATCATGATAAATAGGAATGCGGCTGCTGACATTTCTCCTCTCCCCGTCACCCTTTCTCCTTTTGTCTGTTGTCCATTGGCGCCCAAACAAAACGCAGCAAATGGTTAAGGTCAAGTTGGGCGTATGAGTAGTGAGTGGGTGGGTGGGTGAGCGAACGGGAGCCGAAGGACGTCAGGTTATGACTGAGTGCTTGTGGCTGCCAACGGAGTCGGGGTCTATTGAACGCGGCATGCGTGTTCGTATATGTTCGAATTAGGGATTCGACAAGGAGACAAGTCATAAATGAAGGCAACCACATATACACTGCAAGCGCCGTTGGAATTGAAAGTTTATTGGTTTTTTAAGGCACCGATCATGAAATTTTTATTCTGAAATATATAATTTTCTTAAAAATATTCGAAAATTAAGCTTAATAATTGTTTTATAAGTTTTAATCTAAAGATTATGCCTGCACTTATTTCTTTGGCTTAACTTTATGCATTGAAAATGTTTAATTTATCGATAAAAAGGACTTTTAGTTAAACATTTAATTTAGTGATATTCTAAAAGACATTTTCATAGCCTACTTATGCGGACCACAAAATTTAAAAATGATTTCGTGAAATTTTTTTCTACATGCCAACAAGTTTAGCCAGATCCTGGGTAATCTGATTTTTGGGAATCTTTCGTTTTATCGGCTGCTCGGTGATGAGAACTTCGGTGGTGGCCAAAAGCGAGGCAATTCCGGCGGCATCGGTTATGGCAGATTGCATCACACTTGTGGGATCTACGATTCCGCGTGCCATCAGATCTCCAAACTCACCGGCGGCGGCATCGTATCCAAAGTTGCCATTACCAGCTAACACTCGACGAAGTACCTCGTCGGGATCCACTCCAGCATTTCGGGCAATTGTGTAGCAGGGCAGACGTAGTGCGTCTTTCACAATTTCCCTGCCCACTTGGTGCTCCATGACCCTAGCAGGAGGTAACTTATCCAAAGCAGGAATACACCGTAAAAAGGCTGTGCCACCTCCGGGAACAACACCATCGCTGATGGCCACTTTCACGGCATGCAGGGCATCGTTGAAGCGATCCTTTCGCTCACTGATTTCCAGTTCACTAGTGCCGCCCACATAGATGGTGGCCAGGTGGCCCTGCATCCTGCCCAGCCTTGTTTTTAACCGATCCAGATCCTCATCGGTGACAGCCTCATCGATCAGCTCACGAATATGCTGAATGCGTCTCTCAACCTGCTCCTCGTTGACCTTGATGGGTTGCAGCAGGTGCGTTTCCTTGGCGTCCACTACCGCTGTTACCACCTCGCCAAGATCGCCCTCAGAGAGCTCCGCCAGCCAGGTGGCATCCTCCAGCAGATGGGCACCCATGGCTAGAGCTAGATCCTGCATTTCCTGCCGCTGCTCCTCGCCAAATTTTGGAGCCTTGACGGCACACACCTGCACTCGACCTTGCAGATGATTTAGCACCAGAATCTTTACCAGATCACTGGAAAAATCCTGGGCTATGATCAGAAGAGGTTGTTCCCTCACTTTGGCCATTTGCAAGGCGGGAAGGATCTGTTCAACTTGTTCAATTTTGGCCAAAGTGAGCAGCAGCAAGCAGTTGCCTAGCTCCAGAGTTTTGCCTTCACTTTTCGAGGCAAAAAAGGGCGAACAGTAGCCCGAGGGCAGGGTAATGCCCTCTTGGATTTTAACCTCATCGATGGGGCCTTGGGATTCCTTCAGCAAGATGACGCCACTTTCGCCCAGTTCCAGGATAGTGTCGCTAATAAGCTCTGCCAGTCGTTCGTCTCCACTAAGGGCAACCTTGGCCACGTCCTCCACCTGACCAATGGTGTCCACCGACACGGACATTTCACCCAAAGCTTCGCACACCGCTTGCGATCCCTCGAGAATCCCCTCACGCAGTAGTTGAACATTAATCTCTGCCTGTCGGAGCACATGCATCCCCTGGCAGGCTATTCCACGGGCCAAGATCGTAGCCGTGGTGGTGCCATCGCCCACACTGTTATTCGTATTATTGGTGGCCTCGCGCAGCAGCCGAACGCCCATATCCAGGCGTCGATCCTTCAGCTGCACATTGTGGGCCACCGTAATGCCGTCCTTGGTGATCCGTGGAGATATTAGCAGCTGCTCGATCAACACGTTTCTGCCCTTGGGGCCCAGAGTAGCCGCCACCGCGTTGGCCAGGATGTTCACGCCCTGCAGCAGCAGGCTGCGCGCCTCTACCCCAAAGCGAACGTCCTTGGCAAAGGACCGCACGCTGGAGCCACCGCTCCGGCCCAATCTACTCAGCATTTTGATCGTGATCCTTGGTCGTTAATTTTGCGGCTTTTATTTCCTAATTTTTAAATGCTTCTATATAATTTAGTACCCTTTGTTCGTTAAGCAATTTTTGTTCTGTCAATTTTTTTTAGGCTTTTCCAATATATAAAGTATGGCAGTGATTGATTTTAGTTCAAAATCTTAAATTAGTCGATAAGCGGTCTTGAAACTAATAAACTTTTATAAAAGCATCCAATGCCAAAATATAAAAATATTATTTAAATAAAAACTTGAAGAGTATTGAACAGTTGCGCGTGTGTCAGTGACATTTTATTATGTTCCAACTTGTTTTCCGTTTCGTCATTTTATTTTAACAACAAATATTACATTTGCGCCATGTTTCCTGCTTGTTTTTCGGCTTTCGTTTATTAAATGTGGCGTGCACGTGTTGATAAACTAACACACACTCATACACAGTCGACGGCACTCACACAGACATGACAGTCGCCACACGCACACAGGCGCACACCGTCGTCACACACAGACACACGTTTCGAGCAGACAATGTGATTCCGCCATTAATATTAACGTTAAAGGAGCAACAACGACAACAACAAAACGCTCATCAAACATGCGGCGTTTAGTAAGCAAACACACACACTTACATAAACAACAAATGGCTGCATGAGTGTGTGTGTGAGAGTGAGTATGAGAGTGAGCGAGAGAGCTGTCGGCCATTTCCTTTCGTCTTTCGCCTCTTTCCGGTGCGTTGAAAGTTTCCCTTTTCGTTTTTCGTTCGCTGCTTGTTTTTCTTTTTTTTTCTTTTTCTGGTGTCTTTCAGTTGGCGTCGAGCATTTCCTTAAGGCAAACGCGGCTTTGATTTGCCCTCCGCGTTTTCCTTTTTTTCGCTACTCGGAAATTCGGAAATATTTCGAAAATATCTGTTTGACTCTGTGAGAAGTGCTGTGATCATGGCTTTGGTGGCCCACCGAATGATGTTGCCTTCGCGGCATCGAAAAAGCACCACCCAGCAGGTGGCCCGCAATAAGGTGGGCGTTCTGCTTGTTCCCAGTGTGGCGGACTATTACGCTGGCGAGATGCCACCGCCCCCGGGTGCAGCCACGCCCACTCCGGTCGGATCGCAAATGCATCTGCCTCAAGATGTGACGGAAACAGTCGCCGATGGCAACAATGGAAAAGTGAGTGCAACAAGTCGGTGCAACGGCCACGGATTCACTTGGCTTTGCATGCGAAAGCGAAAAAAATGCGAATAGAATTTCCTTTGGGGATTTCCCCCAAAAAGCAGCTTCGATTTCTCGCTTTTCCTTTTCCCTCCATTTTTGTTTTTCGCCTGTTTTATTTTTCTTTGGCTGGCGCCAACTTTATGTCCCTCAATACTCACAGTTTTGTTGTTCTTGGTCATGGTCGGATTAAAAGACCTCTGTTAGTCCATCACGTCGTATATGTGGACGTCAAGGATTGAGGAATATTAAAGTGTATGCTAACCGGAAATGTTTAGGCTACAAAGTGGAAACCTAAGCTGTTTGTAATATATTTTTTAGTCTTTATAATCTATCGTTTTTTTTAAAACAACAACAGATTCCTATGTAGTTTTGTTTAAAACAGATAAAAACATAAATTTAAACATCTATTATATTACTCACTTTGCTTAAAATTGTTTGAAAAGCTCAAATTTGATTTAATTGAATGTTTCCAACAAATGATTAATCTATCTATTTATATCTCAGTAAAACAATTGAAACAAATTGTTTGTGATTGGATTTTCGGTATTTCATTATAAGTGCCAGGGTGCGTGTTTGTCACGCCTCTTTAAGTGACCGATGGCCACAAATGGAATTCTTAATCCCTACCGGCATGGCCGATGACCATAATTGAATAGGTGGTGGTCTGTGTTTTGCCTTTGTTTTGGTTCTCGGACGCAATGGCACTGGCACCTTTCATTATTCTGCAGTTACGATGCGTGACGAACTTGTCGCCGGCCATCAGTAAGCAGAAGCCCATAATTAATTCAACGCAATGAATGTGGGGGTGGCGGGACTGACACCGGTTACACTAATCAATAAGTTCCGTTCTAATGCACGGCCTTGACATGGTATAAATAGACAAAAACCAACATAATTTAGCAAAGTTCGTTTGCATTTTTGCCTGTTGAGGAAATTAGGGGGTACAACAATTGGTAAACATTTTTTTTTTTTATTCTAAATCCTAATTGCAGTTTTTCGGATTCAATGCTTTTTTTTTGTTAAGCGCTAAATTCAGGATTTGGAAAGGTTTTTTCGATTATTAAACAATTAGTTTAAAAAAATTAAGTAAAGTGTTCCAGTCTTAAAATTTGTATTTCCTAATAGGTTAAAAAAGACCAACTTACCAGTCGTTGGAATTTTATTTTGTTTTTTGTAAAACAAATTTCCAGAACCTAGCCCAACAGCTAAAATCAAACAGGAAACTCACCACAAAAAGGACAACAACCAAGAAAAGCTTTTCCTGTTAGCTTTTAAAGCCTTGAACAGCAACCTAGGTCAACAGCTTTCTGTAAGCCTTCATTTTCCGACACTTACAAACTTGGAGCTACGTTTCCATGGCTTCCACCCCAATAATTCAACCTTAAGATTTCCGAAGCTCTACTTAGCTATGCATTACAAAATGGCTTGCAGTACTGGCCAACTTGTTGATGCGTTCAAAAACTCTCCACTTGTTTATGCTTAAGGCGGTTTGCCTTTTGCACTGCACTGAATTCAAAAATTCTTTGATTTTGTTTAACAATCATACGATTTGTTGAGTCTTTTTCTCAGATCCCACTTAACCAAGCTGCTGTCCATTTAAGTAAGGATCTCGATCTATTTATATATCAAGAAGTGAACTAGTAAAAGTCAAATGCCATCACAAAACTATTTGAGACTAAGCACACTTTGATAAATTTATCACAAATAAATGGCATAATACATTTAATTGTTGAAGGGCAAGTATTCTAATCATTTCTGACTTATCCGAGTTTTTCTTGAGAATGTATTCAATTTATTCGAGAGATGATGTGGCTGCCTACGAGGAAGTGGATGATAGTCAGCTGGGTCCGTCTGCCAAAATAACACCCGAGCAAAGAGCTGAAAGCGAGTTGCAATCTATCATCTTTTTGGCCCAGCAGGAGCACGAGGCCCAGACCCTTCAACAAGTAATAACCGCGATCAAGCTACGCAAGAAAGAGGAGTTGGCTAATCCATTACCCAGAAGTTTTGTCCGAAACAGAAATGTGTTTGATGAGGAGGTCAGAGTTCTGCTGGACCAAATCGGTTCAAAGGAGGAGAATAGCGATGAAGATGACGAGGAATCTATTCAATAAAGTGTCTTAAAGGCTTAAACGTTTATAAAGCTGTGTTTGATATTAGGGAATTTCTTATGGTACTTATAGAATTTAATTAAATCAATTTTTATTTCGAAAACCCTATTTTGATCACACTTAAGGTCAATTCATAGTCCAACGAGAACATGATGATTTTTTATCTACTTGTTTATGCAAGAGAATTAGGCTTTGAGGTAATGTGTTTACATATAATTATCTCAACGCAATTTACGCTTTTCAATCAAAATTTAATCTTGATATAGATAGGATTTCATAAAAACAATGACCAAAACATGAGATTATGTCTGCCCAAACCCTGATGTTTCATTCAAAAACACCTTAAAGCTTACACGGATTTATGTATGAACGATGTGGGTGGTGTAAATAATAAACCCACTGGTGGCAATTACGATGATGATGATAAGGCGAAATGGGCAAGGTCTCGTGTGCATCTTGTAAGCCGCATGGCCAATTGTCATAATTTATGCAACAAGGAGCCGAAAAAGCAAGCAGTCAACGTTTTGTCCCCCACTGAAACTTTAATTAAGTTGAACTTATCTATGCCTTACACATGAGACTTGAGCGTCTCCTCTCTTTCGCACGGCTCTCGCCATCTCGCTCATCTCACGCGTTATCCAAAAAAGGGCTCTCAAATATGCAAATGAATGTGGCACTGGCACGTCAAATGTGGCTTTACACCCCCACACTGGCCCACACAAATACTGTGGCACCTTGGGGAACATGCATTTCGGTCATGTTTACAATGTCAGCTAGGATAACACACTGCGGATTGCATTCGGGTGTGTAAATGTGCGCTAAAGAGCTTTTACACTGTGCAAAAGCAAAGTACATTTTTATTTTTCAAATAATATAATTGAGTTAAGAACTTCCATGTATAGCTGTAATTTGTTTATATTTCCCTTGATTTTAAAAATAGCAAATGTAAAAACCACAGAAAAGCATATTTTATTTTATGTTTTGAGCAGGAACTTTATAAAAAAAGTTTTTTTTAATATTCTAGAAAAGCCTATTTAATGTTTCGGCTTCTAACAATAAAACATACAAGCGAAGCTTGGGAAATTGGTTATATGCTTTTAAAACTCTAAGTTAAAATGGAGAAGTAAAGAAGAAATATTGTTTTTTAATTGTGTACACATAAACTATTTAAAATACAACTATACAAAAAATTGTAGGCCTTTTTAAATGCTATAAGCTAAAATCTTTGTTTTAAATTATTTTTTTTTTAATATTTAAAAAAAGTATCCGCTATTTATTTAAGTTTTTTCCAAGAAGCATGCATCTCAAAAAAATTTTGATAAAGAAATTTGTATGAGCTGAAATCTAAACTACCGATCATATTTAGTGTTATGATTTTTTTCTGAGTGCCTAAGCAATGTCAGCGAATTAGGCCAAAAAAGAAGGGTCGCTGAGAGAGCGCTGGCAGCCATCAGCTGTTTGCAACGCCCACGCACAGCTGAGCGGTACAGCGGGAGAGCGAGCTTTTTGGCCAGAGCGCAGCGCTCAGTTGGGAGCAGGATGTCGTCCTTTCGGCTGGCAGGATTTGGGTACTCGGTACTCGTGGCTCTTGGCTTTTGGCTCTCGGATTTCGGTGCTCGGCCCTCGGCTCCGCATCCCTACCTGGCCAACGAGCTTCGTCCTGGCTTTTGTTTACATGCCTTCAGCCGCTCCTGGATTTCCTTTTCCTGCTGAACTGCAGGACGAGCGAGCGACCCACTTCGGGCGGCGGCCAACGCTTTCAATTTCGTTCAACCTGAATTCTGAGTGCCGAGTTCTGAGTTCTGAATTCTGAGTCCTGTGAACCAGTGAGTCCTGGAAACGAGTCCGATTCGCAAAACGAGCCGTCGGCTGCGGCGCTCGCTTTCAATTTCGCCTCGTTATTCGTTGGTGGCCGTTGGGCGGCCTCAGTCGTCTTTTTGTTGTGCCCGTTCGCGCGTGTCCTGCTGACTGCTCTCCGTCGTCCTCGCCGCACGCCGCTCGACAGCTAAACAGCCCATGCCCAAGCCCAAGCCCAAGCCCAGCGCACACTAGAGCAGAGCTCGGGAGCTGCAGTTCGCCACGCGTCCGCGCCTATAAAATATGAATTTCTACCATTTTTCTACTCGTCGGCAGCACTAAAAAAAAAAAGAAAACGGAAAACCGAAAAAAAACGCGATACGCAAAAAACGTAGGACTAACGCCCACGCGAGATGTTTGTGTGCAAAGAATGCGGTTAATAATTGATTCGATTGCCATTCCCAACTGGCTGCGACGAAGGGAGTTTCGTGCTGAATAAATAATGCAAAAATTGCAGTGCAAATGTAATATGGAATTACAATCACAGCCGTATCAAGGTGACCACAACAATCCGATCGGCAGTCCTGTAATTGTCACTCCGACGTCGCTGGGCTCCGTTGCCGTTGTTCTGGTTCGCATTGTCCACCAGTCGTGTCCTGCAGGTAAGGAAATCAGGAGCTGCGAGTCCGGTTCCACCAAGCACAGCGGCGTCGCCTGAGTGACAACTGCAAATATGCAAAAATAACGCAAAACTAACAACACTCAATATCGGAATCAATCAATAATAAAGAAAGGGAAGCGACTGAAAGCAGAACCTTTTAAATTCCACCGTCAATTACTTTGATTGGCATGTGTGCATTGTAAAGCAAAATACAAGGGCCGACAAATTGAATATTAAAATGAGTAATATAAATAAATATGGTGACCCACTTATAAAAGAAATTCAATTAAAAACGAAATTGAATGTCAAATAATTAATTAAAATAATTATTCTTTATGAAGCAAACAACTACATAATATAGATTATATGCAAAAAACAAATGATTAAATAAAAGCAATAAAATGATTAAAAATTTAATATTTAACAACAACATAAACCATTATAAAAATAAATCAATTATTATTTTAGGCCACAGCCAACGTTTTTTTGTAGCTGATATTCAATTGATTTAAATAATTATACAATTTGTATATTGCAAATAATTTACATAAAATATAAAAAAATCTGAATGAATTTTTTTTCAAACTTAAAGAGTACAGTGTCTTAAAAATTAAATATATCAAACTGAACTACTTTTTACCAATTTACCTGTAAAAAGATGTAATACTTTGAAAATAAATAAATACATACGTAAATACATAAAAAAAACATTTAAAGTAACCAAATTATTTTCTTTTGGAAATCTGTAACATTTATAAAATGTCTAGTATAACATTAAACAAAATCACAATAACTAAGAAATACATTTTCCGTAGATAAGAACAGTTGAATAATAAATCCAACTGGCAAACCAACGACAACCATGACCAATCTGCGAATGCCAATCTGAAAAGGCCCTTATATAATCACAATAATTCATAATGCATAAATAATGATAAATTGAATTACGGACAAGTAATAATAAAAGGAAACCTGAGCTCTGCGAAAAGAAGTCAGGCAAACAAACGAGCGAGAAAAGAGAGGAATGTCCATGTGTGTATACAGCTGCTAACAATAAGTAACCAACCAAACACAATCCAGCGGGGCAGCATGAAAAATGATAATGACAGCCGCCGCAAACCAAACGTGAAAAGTGATTATATGTATATATATGTTCTGACATATCAGCATAAGCAGCCCATAATCGTCGTTTGATTCATTGAAGCAATCGAGCGGCTTATCGATGCTGACGTATTAATTGAAGTTGCCTTTTGATAGTCGTGTCAAAGTCCTAATGCCGATAAATTACACATCCTTCAGAACTTGCCGCTGCTGTTCACCTGTAATGTACTGCTAATTTGTTGCCACAGGAGCGTTACTCATTTCCGAGCAATTACATTAGGGCCGCAATCGTTTTAATTAGGCCAGGCACATGGCCACTCTCGCACATGCAGACAGTGGGCCACGAAAGTATCTCGCCTCTCGCATCTTGAAAAATATGGAAAAATATGCAAAAATGCAAATGAAAAGTTTTCCCTGCGAAAGTTTCCCTTACTCGCTTTTGGCATTGGCGTCGTCATCGTCGTCGTCGTTGTCTGCCAGTCGAGACAACTTTGTTCAGGTGTTGTTGGTTGTTGGTTGTTTGCGGCACACGTTTTTCGTGTTTTCTCACTACAGTGTTGAGGGTTGCTCCGGGCGGACCCACCTTTGACCTTTCGTAGTTTGTTTTTGGCAAGCAACGCAGCCATAAAGGATATGATATAATTTTCAAAATATATCACATTATATTAAGACATTTACGTGCATTCAAATTTGTAGAATATGCCATCAAAAAGTTATGGCCCAAAGATAAGGTACAATGTACACACCTATATCTTTTCGGCTTTTTAAATCTGTTTGTGATCTAAATAACCTAAAATTTAACTGCAGTTGGTATCTAGTTATATTTGCTCATCCGTCAATACAATTTACTTAAATCTTACTTTTAATATTGACATTAACATGTTCAGTTTATATTTAAATAAGGACAAACGATATGTATAATTTAAATTTTTAAATTATTTAACCTTTTTGTTAGAAGGGAAATATTTTTTGGTTACTTCTTAAAATGATTCTATTTAAAATATGTGGTGCTCTAAGCTTGTTCAGCAATTCAATACTTTTCATGCTTCAATTCTTAATCAAGCCTTTTACATTTAATTAAAATACATATTCCTTAGTTTATTATTATTTTCAAGAAAACTATACATAACTCAATCTAAAAATTTACATTGTGGTATTCAAAGCCATAAAAATGTTGACAATTTATTTTTAAAAGCAATATAATCTAGTTTGCTTTGCTGACCTCGTGGTTTGATAATTTAAAGGTGCCCAAATGACTCCTGCACCATATTTCATGTTTCAAATTCGTTTTTATTTAGTCCTCGAGCCAAGGACCTTCCTTACTCTTCCAGTTGACCTTCAGGGAGCGTTTGCCCCGCTTTCGCCCACACTTTAGCCCGGTGGTTACCTATCGTGCCTGGCAACAATTTTTCACAATTCACTTTTAGCTTAGTTTAGCCAAGGAAGCGAAAGTAGTGCAAAGTGGCCAACCAG